CGAGAGCAGTCGTTTAAAATATTCGGGAATCGATAATGAATCTCACCATAGAAATACTAAAATAAATACAAAAATTGGGAAAAGTATCAAAATAGCTTGAACGTGGTTTCAACACAGTATTGTGGACTCGTGACCTTGAACAAGTTCTCGAGAACTCAAATCACAGAGTGAAAATTTGTCATATGGCTCTTAATGTAATTTTATAATACACTTATTTAGAAAAAAAAAATACAATCACACTTTATTTTAAAAATGAATAACATCTGTGCCTGAATAAACCTGAATCTCGAGCTCCAGCGGCCGCCCTCCTTTATAAATGGTTATAGTCTACGTATGAGTGTCCAAGATGACATGTTATCTTGGAAGATCTTTGATAGGGATAGCACGCACACCACTGTTAGAAAGATAAAAAAATTATTAAAGCATGAGTGCGTTAGAAAGATAAAACAATGATAAAAGCATGAGTGCAGGAAACAGCATAAATTGAGCATTTGGAAAACTCATTGGATCAGCATTGGATCAGCCCTGCGATTCTGTAAAAATCCAGACCCGAATTCGAATTCACTCATGTGTCCGAATTCACGTCATTTAGTGTAAAAATTCTGTTGATTCCATTTTTTTTTGTATAAAATACAAACCAAAATTGATTGAATACACGTGTCTCAGATATTCTATTCCTATATCATTTCGAAACTCACTTCATTTATGCTACGAAACGTTATTACCAATCAAGGTTGAGCGTATGCCTCTTTTTGAAGTCAATTCGGACACCTGAGAGAATTCGAATTCGGGTTTGGAGTTTTACAGAATCGCAGGGCTGATCAAAAACCTTGAATCAGCAAGTATAAATCGAGAATGAAGCGGAATGGTATAGAAGAGGCAAAAGAACAAAATACGCCTTTCATTCGGGATTATATTATTTAAGTAATAACGAAAGATAATATAATAAGTCATAACAGCTGACGACCTAGTCACTTAGTGAGTGAAAAGAGCTGTGAAGCGGAAGACGTTTGTACGTTCGTCCTTTGTGAGGCTCGATTCTCTATGCTTACACCACGGGAGCTCCGAGTATAAAGATTATAGATATTGATTAAAAATTAGTTTCGTCGAACGATTTAAAAGTTTACAGCGAATTGTGAGTACCTTAATAAAATTAGGTGCTGTCATCTCATGAAAGTTCATTGCATTTATCTGGAAAATTACAATATTTAGCTGAGACATCCTTGACCCATTGGTTGTCAGTGTACGGTCAAAGTTTTGCTGGAGCTTTATGAGTGACACGTGTAAGGTATTAATAGTTGATGTTGGTTGCGAAAATTGTTTTTACTTATTATCACATTTACGGATGGGCGGACGGTGAATAGATACACCGCGGTGACGATGGCGGTGAATATTTACAACAACATTGCTGACCCTTAAAAAAAACATAATATTGATTTTTGTCCCCAGTAATAGATTTTGTCAATATTTCCTTAAAATTTTATAATATTGTGTCCCCCGTTGTGTCCCCAGCTAGTATTCTTCTTTGTGCCCTACCGCACCACGTAGCACCGTCCACACATTGATGTAAATTTTTAAAAAGTGGCGTTAAAATAACAGGTATTTATGAAGAACTCTCAAATCACTAATTTTATAAATAACTTCGCAAAATAAATAGCTTACTGGATTATTTTTCATTAGCAGCGCCATCTATTGGAATATTCAATAACGAGTTATGTATTGTAGAGTGCTTTATTTAAAATTCTACAAGTATGCTACTAGGTATTTCATTTACATCTGATAAGTTTGGGTATAACCTACAAGATGTCGCTTTGTACGTTTGTCTTTGTTTTTATTTTGTTCCCAAACAATATTGGAAGAAAACCGAAACAATTAGAATTTTAATCATATTCAATTTGCAAAACTGCGGTCTTTTTAATTATTGAACTTCAAATTACATTATTTTTTAAGCGACAAGGTCTAGTAATTGTGTTGACACCTATAAATAAAATATGTACTACAAACCTATTCAATGCATTCTACTAGCTATAGAGTAAAACCTCAAGACGATAAATTATTATAGTATCACCAGATGGCGCAACTTTTTATTTAATATTTTATGGTAGCATTATTTTGCAGGGATTACCAGAAAGCTTTGACCGTTGAAAAAATATATCTATTACTATATCTTCATAATACTAATTATAAAAATAAACACTACCCTGGCACACTGCTTGTCCGTCTGAATGCACAGATAAGGTGGAACATCACAGCATGGACGAATAAGATTACAGTTTATTAGTTGTTGTTACTGTTTTTAGTTGGCGCTAATGTGCTAATTTGATGTGTATTTCAATATTGTTCATAGATAATAGTTTTTGCGCTTTACATGTATTGTTAATATTATTATCTAGATGGTAATTTCTGTAATTCATTTTCTGAACAATTTGACTTAATTAAGAAAAGGTTCCCAAACATCAAATATCTAAAAACTTTTCAAAGACGATTCAGACGAACGGATAGCGGGGTCTAAGTTATAGCGTTCCATTTTACTCTTAGGACACGAATTCGTCAAATGAAAACACTGGTACCAGAGCGAACATGTTTTCAGCATGGGGTTTTTATTTTGACATATTTTTTTATCAATGAAAATGTTCTAAGTATTTGTTTTTATTCACTCTTATTAATTTAATAGAGTAACAACCTCCATTTGGTTTATCTCTAAACGGGAATATCTTAAAATTGCAAAAAGCTCTTTCTTCGATAAATCTACTGTTGTAATACCCCAAGCAGCTCATTTTGGTACTATAGAAGCTTCAAGAACATTTTAGCGCGCGCTAATTAGGATTCACGATCATTATATTAATATTGTAAGCTTTTAAAAACCCCTAAGAGGCCCTAGTTTTATCACTGATTCATTCTAAAAACATCACTTAAGGGTTGTCTGTAATCTTAACGTGATTGGTGATACAAAGGTGCTATAAAAGTAACCATAGCATGTTTATATAACAGTGCTACCTAGTGATTGTCATTATATTTTTCTTGTCAAATTTATTTTTGTTAAAGAAATTCTGTTCTGTTTCTGCCATAAATTCTATTTGTTACTTATAATATCTATATTATATTTAGTTGTGTATGTATGTATAAACGTGGTCTACCTACAAGTTCAGTTATTGTGTAGAGAAAAGTATAGAGTGTGAATGAATGAATAATTACTAAAATTTGGGCGCTCTGTAATTTTGCAACGTTATTTCGCAAAAAAAAATCGGTCCATTTACAAGCTATTTCATTCATTCAATTTAGTTTTGTAGGGAATTCAACAAGCTATAATGTCATGTGAATCACAAAATTTTTGGGCCCTCACTTTCAAAGAGTTTTAGGGTTGAAGGGAATCTATGTACAGCGAAAAATAAACTACATTATGAATACAAACAGCTTTCTTGCAGAAATGTACTACTTTTTCTGTTATTTTGAAAAGAACATAGATTTTTTAAAGCTTAAAAAGAAAACTATTTTTTTTCCAAAATATAAACTTCCAAAATATTAAAACTTCTGGGAGTTATACGCTGGGATATAAATGAAGTTAATTCTTGATGGGCTATGTTTAATTTTTATTTTGTCACTTGCGACTCCAAAAAAATTTGCTTATTCTTTTTTAATTTCAACGATTCAGCTTATTTTTGTTATAACTCCGTCAACTTTTAAGCTTGGAACGTTTATTATAGAACCCAAATACTTGACGTTGACTGTGCCACATCAGTGCATGTTGGGGTTACTTAATGAAATAACTTGAACAATTTGAACCATTTGTTACTACTATGTAACTAATTTGTTTGGTATTTACATTAAACTTGAACTTAGAGGAGGAAACCGAGACCGCTAGTCAAGTCAAACTACAGTTACTTTAATATTGTTGTGGGAAATAATTCTATAAAACAGTAAAATCTCTTTTTAAATAATGCTCAGAGGTTGCATATCGGTTATAAACAGTGCCGGATTAAGCCAGGGCCAAAATTTTTAGAGTGAGACTAAGTGAATATATGGAGTAAAAAAAAATCATACACTTTTCTAAACTTGTAACACTGTGTGCATCCTTCCAGTCATCTAATATATCTTTCATTATAACGTTGAGCAAAAATCGGACTTTGTATCCGAACTTAGTATCCGAAACAGAAAAGTCGTTCGTTGGTCTCCAAATAACACAACACAACTAATACTTATGTGACTTGAGTTTTATTTGTCAGTTTATGTTAATAGGTAATTTAAATATGAGTTTAGGTAGAAGCGTGGCTTATTTTATTTCTTGCATTTTTTTAACACTAAAGGGAAACTTAATTTATTAGTCAGCTATAGCAAGTGGTATCCCAATTGCGCTGGGCCCCAAATATAAAAAGCGCGGGCCTCAAACACGCGAGGCCACTAGCATTTCCTATGTGGCTAATACGGCGCTGATTTTTTACAATATTATATATTTTTCCTAAAGAAGACTGTTCCTACTTACTGAATCACCAGGAGAAATAAAATTGTTAAATGCAACGTAATTTTATGATTTATTCAATTAAGAAAATTTTATAAATTATGTTTTTAAACGTGAAAAACCTTAAAAATATAGTAGTTTATTAAGTACAGCTTCTTTAACCTTTGGTATTTTTTTATACGTCATTTCGGGCCAAATGGTATTTCGAGTAATAAGTAGTTAGATACGTTTCATTTGATTTGAGGTACCTACTATTTCTGTTTTATTTTAGAACATTTTCAATAATGTTATTTTCTCTCAATAATTTTTCAAGCAGATCTGTAGATTTAGAATTTGAAACATTTTAGTAGACTAAATTATCGGATTAAGAGCACTTAAAACATAACAAAATCAAAATCTTTTAAGTTTAGAAAGACGTAGGGAAGCTGTTAAACAAAAAGTAAATTTAGTAAAATTAATAATTTATCTAAATCAACAGTTACATTTATTGGCTAAAAATGATAATTCAACTATGCTTTCATACTATGCAAATAACATATGTTTTTAACTTGATTGTTATCTAAATAAAGTTTTTTCATAGCCCTATTCAAGTCGCAAACCACAGACCTACTTAATACAAAATATAAATTTAATTGATAGGCGATAGAAAGACTACTTTAAAAGTCGTGCTGGAACTGTGCTTTTAAACCGACATCTGGTTTACCACGGCCCAGCTCTTGGGTGATCGTACCGCCAGCGGATAGCCTGGTGTTCTTATCGAAGTTCCATACTCCTGCACCTGTACCTGTCACCTGGTAACACAAAACTTGGTTTGATATCAAAGTTATTTTCGGAGGAGAATATTAGGGCATTGCTTATTTACAATAATAAATTATTTCTGGACCTGAAAAGCATTAGGTCGGATGTATAAAAACTGTATAAAAACAGAATTAGCTAAATGCAATCAAAATATTTGAAAAAGTCGTCTGATCCGACTTTATGCATGACTGTTGCTCATGAGTAAAAAGGCACAAACATACAAGAGTTAATTTGCCGGAAAGAGAAAAAAGAGTGTAGCAACGTTATGGCGATAAGTGATTTTAGCTGGTTCTGCACATCCGACCTAATGCTTTTCAGGTCCAGATTTATAAAAATTATTTAACGTTATTGATTTTTTTTTACATTAATGAATAAGAATCGGTGTAAAGATGTTTTTTGGAACTACAAAACTGACAAATATAAGATAGGACAAACAACTTTGTACACAAAGATCCGTTGCGTTCTAGCGCGTTCGTCCATGAAATGCTTGATCTTCTGCCAGATTTGCAAGAACCCTAAACCAGAGCGCTTAGTGTAAGTTCTTTTGACGTTTACGTTCACTGTCGAAGGTGAGCGCGTTAAGATTTTAGTATGGAATCCAGTACAGCGCCCCTAGCGGTAACTATCGAGAACTACAAATCTCCATATAAATTCTTAACGCGCTCACTAGTGAACGCGTTAGCGTAAAACTTACACTTACCACTCAGAACTCTTTCGATTCAAAGTTGAGGATCATAAGTTCCATTTACTGTCGAAACCCATACTGTAATAAGTTTGAGATATACTGACAATGACTGAAAGATAAAGAGATATTTTATTTATTGTAAATAAAATCTTAAATCGGAATTTAATTAAAAAATATATATCTCATTAGAAACTGTTGTAGCTTTCGCCTCTTTTGTCTCATAAGGTTGCCGACTCCTACACTAGATTGCTATAAGTCTCCTAATATGAAAATATAAACGGTTGTTATTGGTTATTATTTACTCTAAATTTTTTTTAAAGACTGTTGAACTATAAATACTTACACTGGGTCGTCCACCGATTGGCTTATTGACGTCTAAGGAAGCTTGTGAGTTCTTGTCAGTGAAATCTAAGCGACCACCGAAGCTGCTGACGTCACCGTTTGGTCCTAGCATCCTGGAACCGTAAGCCTGGCCTTGCAGTTTACCGCGATCGTCGTTGAAGATGTCTTGCTTATAGCCTCCTTTACCCTGGAATCAATCCAACTATTATCTCTATTACCTTATGTACCTACATTATTTTGAGAGACATTTTGAATTGCATGCTAAGCAAATATAATCTGCATTATACAAAGACGCTGATAGTTTACCCATAATTTACTTAACTATTAGCCGACTAATTTTTATTTGTTTGTGCGTCGCGTATTTTTTGCGTACTCAATAAATAAAGGCGATATATTGGGTTAAGATGTTGCATGACGTCACGCCTTTGTTCACCTTTGTTTGTTTCGCTTCTGTTTGTTTTTAATTAGTAGTGGCGTAGCCGAACCCCGAGTCCCCAAATTTAATGTTTTTTATTTTATTTCTTGTAGAATTGAAATAAAAAAAGGCTCTAATATTTTCCTGTTATTTGACTGACAGTCTAAATATAATTTATTTTTTCTTGATATCATACTTATTATAAATATCCGTGCAGTAGTAACAATTAAAATATAACAAAAGTTATGTTAATAGAACTTACAAAAAGGCCGGAGTCATCGCTTCCTAAAGTACCAAAGACTTTGCCATCTCCAACTTTTTTGTCCCAAGTCACATCTCTCTGATGACGGGCTATCTTCGAGAACTTATAGTATTTCGGATATCTGTGAAACCGGTTTCAAATTAACAAGATTCCATAATATTATAGAACAGGGTTTCGATTGTAACCCTAGAGGCTGTAGTTATAAAATGTTACTCGGAATAGGACTCGGAAGCACCTACGAGAAAGTCGAGAAAAAGAGCAAAAAGGCGCGGCGGCACTATCCTTTCCTCAAAGTCATTCAGGTCATTTTGACCCCGTGTAACTTTATTTAAGAGGGTCAAAATGGCCGCAATGGAACAAACTACAAACACATTTTTAGTGACCAAGACACGACTTTTAACTGCAGTAGAACTGCGTTGTGCGTTGTATTTTTCTTGGCACACAAAATATTGTTTCTACTCGTACAATAATCTATTATATTGAATAATAAGAATCTTATAATAATTATCATAAAATTTTCACCAGAATTAAAGAAGTTAGTTTAATAATCATTAGAATCCATTGTAAATTAAAAACATGTATATTTTCATTATAAGAAGGGATTATGTTTTATACTTACTTTTGACTATAATTTGGAGGTGAAGAAACCTGTGCATTCGCAAAAGCGAAAATTGCCATGCTAATGATCACGATGAGTTGCATATTGAGCTGTAATTAAACAAATATACTTATTTATTTCTAATGAATGAAAATATATTAAATCGAAAGTAGAGACCATATAACTCGCACTGGCCAAAATTACAAGGCCTCGTCTAGAGTCAAGCTTCTAACTCTTCATGCTCTAACTTCATAAACTACTCTAATCAAAATATGTGACTGGCTTGACCTTTTTTTTCCGTCACATGGGTGTAAGACAAAACATTCATTATTCATCACTTTTCTGTTATGCATTATTTTTATGATAACAAAAACGAAATACCTACTATTGATAGAATATTTTTTAAATTAATAATACCTAGGATGATATTAAAATTATAAAAAATAATTTATTAATAAAACAATAATCAAATATAGATAAATGTAAAAGAATAAATACACTTACCAGATTTTCCACGTGTGTCCTTTGGAAGTACTTTGAAACTGCATAAGAACTTGATCTTTCTGTGAATTTATATTCAAACATCAAAACGTTGGTAAAGTCCCTGAGGACGTGCTAGATATCCACTGAAAGCTATAAAATGTAATTAAGGTGTATCTGAACCAATGGTGTTTTGATATATGTGCAGCGATGTGTTTGATTTTAGTGGTAAATTCATATTGAATATCATAAATAGTTATATATTTAAAAATATCGTATTATGGAGTTTATTCAACAATGAAGTTACCACATCACCCAGGCCTGTGTCAATAACAAAAACTTTTCAAATGGCTGAATGAAAACAATTTTTATACATTTAAAAAGAGAATTATAAATAGTTACAAATGCTGATGTAAGTATTATATATTTACCTTATTTTATAAATATATTATATATTTAACTGTTTAATTGTCATTATTATTTATATAGAGAACCAATGAATGCTTGACTTAGTTATGCTACGAGTATTTTAATATACCTATGTAGTGAAACATAAAAACGTATATTAATTTAATGAACCAACATTTTATACCATTTTTTATGCAAATAAATGTTTTATTATTATTATTATTATATAGACTCGACCCGGGACCTCAGACACCCTGAAACCGGCGTGCGAACCACTCAGCTACGGAGGTCGTAAAGTTTTTATCGTTTTTAAATCATCAACAGCCAAATAACCCACTGCTGGGGCTAAGGCCAAAGTATAACCACATAAGTAGAATAACTCGAGGCCGGAGCTAGAGATAATAGCCTGAATATGTAGGGCTGTCGCTTATAGGTAATTCAATAATCAGAAATGCATGGTCAATTAATCTCTATAAAATATGTATACTTTACCCCTAAATGTTAAGCATCCGGGAACTATAATACAACGTTTTTTAATGTATTTTTTATATATTGACCAAGAGCTGACTACATTTTCTTTTCAAACTTCCGTCATGTCATCTAGTTAGTGTATATCATCCAATTATGTATTTATTCATTCATTATTAAGCTCGCTTCAAATTATATCCAAAAAAGTAGTTTTAAGAGTAATTTTGAACATAATTACATATTTAATACAGAAAAAATTTTCGCCTGTTTCGACAAGTATGAAATGCCTTATAATTTGTAGTTAATGAAAAATATATCCTCATTCTTACATATAATTTTAATCTTACAAATAATAAATGCCATCACATTCTTATAAATTAATGCTATTAACACAGTGAATGGATATTTTACTGAAAAGTTTTTGATAAAATGTATAACAATTTTCAATGGAATTCTTCTTTCTTCTTATTTTTCTAATTCTTCTCCTTCTTCTTTCCATCGTTCTATGTTGCTATGCCTATCAAGGTGCAGGTAAACATTATTAATGGAATAATATATTTAGTTTTTAAGTCATATGCATGCAATACAATAAATAAATAAGAAGTAAATAGATTAGATACTCACTACTCACCATTCTTGTTCTTTGGGTAATGAAGAGAAATACAAAATTTGCATTTGATAAACTGTTATTGAGACATCCATATACACTACAGTATTTTCGTTTCGTTTTCGAACATCTTGTAACGAGCGGCAATACAGCGACGCGGAGTACCTTTATCATCGATAAATTTTGTGAGTGTGTGCATGGTATGACGCATACGCACAGGCGCTCTCGCATACAAACCATTTTCAGTTACTTTCCCTATATATGGAATCGAATGAAATCAAATAGGGAAAATGGGCAATGGACCTCCACTCGAACCTAGTTAGGATTGGTGGGTATTAACGTCTGCAAATCTAGTGAAGGCCAACGGCTAAACATGATTTCAGAAGCACAGAGAAGTTAGAGATAAAGTATTTTTATTAAGTATTAATTTAATGTTTATGTACTCATTCCAATTCTCCTGTTATTATAAGAGGATGACATATGTATAATGAACGAAGTAATCAAAACTAACAAAAATCCCCTTATACTAATGAAACCGCTATGAGTGGAATTAGTCACAACTTCTGATTACTACTAGTATGATAATGCTAATTATTCTCTTCACAGAAGTTTCCTCCTGTCCAAACGAAGTGCAAAAATTATCATACATACAGGATCTGATTAGGAATATTCCGCACTTTTAACCTAAATATATGTAGTATAAAGCCATGCGAATTATATAATCGTATTTCGGGAGCTTCGTGTACACTATCCTGCAATAGATATCCATTATAATACTATACGTATTATACAATACGTGAGAAACTATAAAAAAATAAGATGATAATTATTTCCACTTCTCGTATTAGCTGTTTTTGTCTTGGGTAGCCCAGATATTAAAAATATACTCTACGTTATTGACCAGAGCGTATCCTAATTTGAAACTTTGTAACATATTATTTTATTACATAGAACACTGAACAACATATTGTGTATCGACACAATGTATTCTACACATTTGATTCTTTTTAGGGTTCCGTGGCCTAATAATAAAACGATTACTGAGACTTCGCCGTCTGCCAGTCTGTCACCACTATGGTCATTAGGCTGTGTATCTCACGAACCGTGAAAGTTAGACCATTGAAATGTTCACAGATGATGTATTCCCAAACAGCAAAAAGCGGTTTTTAAACTATCCTAGAACCGTGATTTCTTGAGGATTGTACGAGTCTTATATCTGCATATAACCCCGGAAAAGGGTCCACTTTATAAGTCTACTCTTGCTTACAGCGCGATTATAATTATCAGGCCACACCAATCCCACTTTTAATTAAATGGCTTCTATATAGGGATTACGCAAGTTTTCTTTTACCTGAAAATGTCAATATAAATCCACTATAGTAAAGTGAGACTAACTTGGGCCTAGCTATGCCTCTACTTAGAATGTTTTTATTACGATGTCATTAAAGATAAATAGGGATGCTAATTAACATTTTTCAATAATGTCAGGTCAGATCATTATTAAAAAATATTGAACACATATTTTTTGCGTCATTAATAAATAACGGATATGCATTGAGTTCAAATGTCTAATGACGTCACGCTTTTGTACAATTATCTATGCCATTTTTTTGTTTAATTGAAATTGAAACAAAAAGTACGTTGTTATTTACCTATTATCTGACTGATGCACTAAATAGAATTTCTATTCAAATTCCTTTAATAAATAAACTGACTCAATATTGAGCTGACTTTTTTCAAGTGCTCCGCTATTGAAATATAATTGTATTAATATTATTAAAATATAAATCTTATATGATTGTTATATATTAAATATATGTATATGTATAATTATTTCTTTATCTATTCATTTCATTTTATTTAGGAAAACAAACAGTCGTTTACAATTCAAAAACAAACTAAAGTTATAGACCTGACAGTTCCGTTACTAAATACTAACAAAATTTATTTAATTGCTAACTATAAACAATAGTGATGACATCGAATAAACTTAACCTACATCAAGCAAACAGCTTCTCCACAATAATCTCAAAAACTCACTTTGAGTATTCATTTTTAAATATAATATCTCCCACTTTTTGTTTATATTTGATTTAGTGATGGCGAAAAAATGTCAACGTCATTTAAATTGTCATTGTAAAATCTACAGGAGCGTCTTATAAAAGTGTTCTTATTTTATGTACGAGTATTTAATTTATTCATTAAATGTTTGTACAGGTATGATATTGTTATAAAGATTTGAGACACCAAGAGACACTCTTATCTAATCTAAATATAATTTTGTTCAGTTCGTAAAGTTGCCTAGAAGAAATTACTTTTTAGTCATAGGGCCGCCAATTGTGCATTTAAATTTATTGTATCCTTATGTTTGTTTTGTCCATTGGTGTACAATTGAGAATATTTCATTCAGCCATTCATAAACTGTGTCGTTAAATAACATTATGGTGTTAAACGTTAATAAGATGATCAATTTTCAATCCTGCTTCCATTTTGGTTAAGAAAAAAAAACTTTTTCTTTTATAATATATATAATGCCATTTACACCCAAAGATACTTTCTTCTTTATTAGACTGGTACATTCTATCAAATGAATATGCCTAGATAAAATAGTCATATTTAAACGAAATAACTTTGTGGTTTCTGAAGTATCACTTATACAGCCAGTTGCACAACGTCCATAATAACTGAAAGACATCCTTAAACCTTAATGAGCTTTTGTGTAATTGGATGTTAGTAAACCTAAAATAAAATTACTTATCGAAAAAAAAAGAAGTAATCACTTGGATATATTTTTATTTAGTCATAATTATTTACAGTGTATTACCAAATATTTACAATTGATTTAAATTCTTCAAACACTCTTGAAGTTTCATAACCTCCTCTTTATATCTCAAAATCAAGTCATTTGTAACACAAAAACAAATATGATTGAAACATTACATATAAATATTACTTATTTTCAATGTATAGCACTAGCAAAGTAAGAATAAAATTGACTTGGTTTTTTCAGTTATAGAAATATAAAATAGAAATAGGTAGGGTAGAAATAGGCATTTTTAGGAACTATGAGTGTTAGAATACAGCACAAAATTATTAAAAGTCGTGCTGGAACTGAGCTTTTAAACCGACATCTGGTTTACCACGGCCCAGCTCTTGGGTGATTGTACCGCCAGCAGATAGCCTGGTGTTCTTATCGAAGTTCCATACTCCTGCTCCTGTA